AGGTAGATCTTGTCTTTCATAAAGGCCGAGGTCAGGGATCTTGGGCCTAAAAAGGTTGGTGACCACTGGTCTATAGTGTACATGTTGTGTAGCATGTCTATTTTATGGTTCAGAAGAGCTCATGAGCACCCCATGTGGCCATGTTGACTACTAACCGGCGTCACCAATGTGTGGACTTTGAGAAGGGCCAGGTGCCATTTGGGACAGGGCCATTGGCAATAGTCAAAGAATATCAGTAGCATTCATTTTAACTATAGTACTTGGATTGCAAATGTTTTTTAAAGTTTGTTGAAAGAATACAATTCATTTGTGTACCATTGTTCATGAGTACGTCATAGTCTGCATTTTTCCATCTCTGAAAAGGCCAGAAATTTTGTACGTTTTAATTTGTACTGTTATATTGGATGCTTGATTCTCAGTGTTTCCCAGAGCGGACAAGAAACACTTATTGTTTGATATTGAGATTCTGATGAGGTTTTAATGGCAGCCTCATGGAAAACCCTTCTATTAGACCTGTGCATTTCTTCATATGTCCATATGGAGACGGCATGAACAGGAAATGGCATGCATTCCTTTTGTCCGATTCAAAAATAAACTCCAGTGTGCACTTCCTGCAGAGGCGTTGAGAAGAGAGAAAAAAGGTGAAGAGGGAAAAGAACAGAAGCAGAGGAAATAAAGAGTGTAGTGTTAAACTTAAATGGGCTCCGTTACACTCAAGGGTCTCCGCTGTGATTCGATGAATCCTCGTGTGGTGGTGTTGGCTTGTAAATCACACACCATGTTTCCTTCTTTTGTGAGGAAGATTAAAGCTCTTTGTGTTGCCACATACATCCCTGCAGTTCTGCACTTCCTGTCAGCAAGACATGTGATTGTTTGAACAGTGTGTGAGGTTGCCATTTGTCATAGGCATTGTGAATTTTTGCGACAGCCCTGCTTCCACCTTCTGCTGCCTTCTGGAAAGTTCACCTGAGGCTGTGTGAGACATGTCCTGGCATGAGGTCGTTTATTGAATATTCATGGTTTACAAAGACTAATGGTACAAAGACTGAAAAGGTGCTTCAGATTTCATATATCTGTAATGATTTTTCACTAGCTGGATAAGCTTACAAACCTGTTTGTTAAATTCGGTTGCCTGCTTTGTTTCTCGAGCTTTAAGACATGATTTTGATATTGGTACTTTTTTACAATTTAATTTGTGTCCTATATGGAGAAAAAAATGCATTGTGTTTACAGAGTAAGATAATTATGGCTATATTAACAATGTTTTGCTGATTACATAAAATTAGGCAACATCTTAACATAATTTCTCTGGTTTAAAGTTTGATTCATCTAACTTTTTCAGATAATGCAAATGAAACAGTGAATCAAAGATTTTCATGAACGTCCCACTTTCTATGGGGACTATTATTTGCTGCATTGATGCATATAATTCAATGCTGTTTTTGTTAAATAAAACTAATTAAATAATAAATAATTTAAATACAATAAAATATAAATATAAATATTAGAGGAAAATGATGCAACTAGCTGAAATAATTTTAAGCTATAATAATACTAAAACTAAAACTGAAATTAAAAAAGGCATAGGCATAAGGCATAAAAAAATTACTAAAATTTAAAACTGAAAATATTAAAATATTATTATAAAAAATAGCAATAAATATGATAATAGAATATAAATAATACAGAAATATCACTGATATAAATAAAAATATTATCTTTCTTTAGTTTAGTTTACAGCTATGTGGACAACCAGCCTTTATTATTTTTAACTTTTGTTTTTTGCTTTTTTTTTTTTTATATATATATATATATTTTTTTATATTTTTTTTTTTTACAAATAATTGCATTACAAATGACCATGTGCATAAACTTTAAATTACCATTGTAATATT